AAGTTTGTTATCAGTGGCTTTCAGCCTCTAAACTGTGGACTCCCCAGGGCTGGAGCTTAACTTTAAGCATCTGAGAAAAATAACAGGAAAAGCCAGTTAAATGTCAGCAGCCTTAAATCTGCTATCTGAGGCCTGCACCTCTGTGAGAAGATATGCAAGCGTGAGCACATCAGAAAAAGTCTGAAAATCACTGAGCTGGGATATTAAAAGATCGGCCTGATTCCCTAATTCTCCACCTTATTCCCTAATTCACTCTCAGGATGAGAAGAGACTCCATCTCAAACAATCTTGCCGCAGCATCAGCTCTAAGCCAAGCAGATAAATGGCCTTGCAAAAAGCGCTCTCAGTCAGAATCAGGTCAAGGTTGGGATAATGCAGAGATCAGGAAACAGGGCATCCACGTAAGCCAAAAAGCTAAGTGCTAATGGCCAGGGGAGCAATATATAATGAGCTCTTAAGAAGAACAACCCATAACTAAGGCATATATATCCTCACCAGCAGTCAGCTGCATGTTGGTGCTTTAATGAAGTTACAAGGCAGAACACAGGACTATCTAATCTCCAGAGAACGTTATTAGTGAGGACAAACTACATTTCACAATGCTGCCATTATTTTTGCTAGCATCTCATTAATCATTTAATGGTCATTACTCATTATTTGCTTAGCCTGGGCAGAGTACTCAGCTGTGCAAAAATACTCAGATTCAGGTGGTCCCTGCTTCACGGTGCCAACAGTGCCTTAATTTGTCTCTGCTGCCTGTGACCATCAGGAGTTTGCGTAGTGTTTGGAGGGAGGAAATACTGCCTGTGTCCTTCCTCATGGGCAGCTGAAATGGAAGGTGACTTCTGCTGTGATAAATTGAAGATGCTGAAAGTTTTCCAGGCACTGAGGGGTAAAATCCTCCGCCAGCTTTGCAGAGAACGGCAGCAATGCTGCTGCTCTGCTGTCCTCAGATACCAGTGGGAGATTGGTCCCCAGACTGTCTGAAAAAAGTAATAGAAAATAAAGCTCAATTGCAACCTGCTGGTCAGGTATAGAAGGGCTCTCCAAGGCACCTACCTGTGTCCCCAAGGGTTAGCAACAGGCCCACCTGAACAACAGAGGAACAAGGTATCGGTCTGCAGGCACTGTTCCTGCTAAAGGTGATTTACGGTGTTAATGGCCTTCACTTAAGCACAAGATGACATATATGCTCTAAGCCTTGAAAAAGTGTTTACCCTTGTCCTCTGAATAAACACAGCCAGGTGGAAGGGGTTTTCCAATTCACCAGCTGAGAGCTGCCCAAAACAGAGATGGGACCACAGTCCTCCCATGGTGACCTGGGAGAAGGTAGCTGCTCTCACGCCCCAGGAACACAGCATTTCACCAGTGACTTACTCATCCTCCCACTGTGGGGGTCCATGTGGATCCACACTTAACCCCATAAAGGGAAACTGAGGCGAGGAACACACGTTGCTCAGTACCTGCTCCTTGTGGCCATCCAGTGCTCATTTTAACCAAACACCATGCAGGGGTAGCATCCCTGTGTGGCAATTAATGAGCCAAGAAATTAGGAAGGAAGAGACATTTAGAGCTAAATTAATTTTGTAGCCGTCTCCTGTGGTCTGGGAATGTATCGAGGCATTTCTGCATCCTGGTTTGTCCCAGAGTAACTCCACAGCTGGCAACAGCAGCACAAAAAAGAACGGGGCAATAACTCAGCCTCCTGCGGCGCTAGTGGGGCACTGTCACGACTGTGCCCTCGAGGCAGGGGTCACAGTTGCTGTGCCTTTGCAGATCAATTGCACAACCCCCCTGTTTTTAACAGGGGAAAAGAAGTCCTGGGTTTTTGTGCCCTTACATCATCTCAGGAGCAGCTGACCAACCCATGCAACACTTCTCTAAAAATATTTTGCCTGAGGCAGACATTCGGGACAGAATAAAATTTAGTCTGAGTAATTAAATAATTTGTCAAAGTTATAAACAACTGCAAGCAGCTCCTAATGAGGTAACCCATCATCTCCCACGCCCCCGGGCCAGGAGCGCTCCCACCAGAGCCCTGGGGGCCCTTCCTTGCTGCCGGAACGAGCGCTCATGGCAGTGGCCTGTTTCCAGCAGAGCAAGCTCCAGGGTGGGCGAAATGTCTGCTGCCGGAAATCCCCAGCTCACTCATTGCTGGCGTTTGGGGGAGGCCAGGGAGCAAGCAGGGTTACAGGCGCAGCCACTGCGCTCCTGCCTCTGTCCTTCAGGGACCGGCCCGATGGTGAGCACGGAGCTGGTGGCACAGACCGAGGGCACAGCCCCAGGCACCCCAGACCTGTGCTGCTGGGTCTCTCCTCCCCACCTAAATATATGTATAAGGGCTTGCTCTGGATATGTACACACCCCAAAGGCACGCGTGCTGCATGCAAGGGCATTTGTGGTGCTCCAGCACCACGGGCTCATGCACAAAACTGACCACAATGTTCTGCTGAATTTGTCCTGTTTTAAATGACCAACTCAAATTTTGGTGATGAAATCATCCTTTTCCCCAAAGCAAGAGGGACCGAAGGCTGTGCTGCACCGAAAGGGCTCTCACCTATAGGGTGAGAGTTTTCCACATCTGTACCCATCACCCTCCCCATCATCCAAGGCAAAAAGCCTGCAGCTGGTATTTCACCCCCATAAAGGAGTGGGGAAGGGCATCCCCCTCCGTCTCGCCATGTTCTGCAGTGCTGAGGCAAAAGCAAAGGGTTATCCAACATGGATGTCCAAAAGATGTGCTGAGGAACAACAGCCCCCAGCACGGTTTTGGAGATGTGCTGCCAAGGAGCAGCTGCCTTCCTCCCAGGACGGTGCCTCTGCCCAGCAGCCCCAGAGAGCCACAGGCAGCCTTGCAGCAGGCTCAGGAGGGGACACGGGGCAGGTCCCCTTGCTGGAGGAGAGGAGATGGAAGGTCTTAGTCTTTGTTTCCTCTCTGTTTCACCCTGAGAACTGAGAAATCAAATGTGCTTAGTTTTGAGACTCATTTTGAACATTTGCCTGTTTAGTGTTTTACTTACCTCAAGGGTCCTTTCCGTCTCTCCCCAGAAATCTCCCGATGTCTTTTGCTGCAAATTAAGGAATATTCCCTTTCTTCTACAATTCAGTGACTCCGTGTCTCAGCTCTGAGTTACTGGTGAGATCCCAGATCACAAAAGAGCGCACTAATTGCCCTAAGGCATCCTTACAGACCTCTAACATCGAGGCCAGGTGGTTGCATTTGGGAGGAGTGAAATTCCCTTGTAGCTTGTTGCTGTCCAGAGGATGCTTGCTACTTTTTTTACATCTTATTTTTCTGAGCCGTGAGGAACTATTTAGCCTTTACTATGTTTTTGCCCAGGAGAGCTGGTAAGGCAAAATGATTTCTCTAAAGTAATTGTTCTACAGAGGGTGCACAACACTTTCTGAACCCGAGTCAGCACATAAATGCAAGTCGTTAAATGAGAAACCCAATGAGCATTAACACAGTTGGGAACCGAGGCAGGCTGCAAGCTGGCTAAAAATCACCTGTAGAGTTCAGCCAGGGGTCCTGATACCCTGTAACAGCAAAATGGAGGGGTCCTGATCTCCTATAATGGCAAAACAGAAACATTAGGTGACTAGCCGCAGGTTTTTATTGCTGATGGATGAACATTAACAGTCATTTCCACCCGCAGGTAAAGGAGAACACAAGTATTATGGTTGGTGCAACTGTATTTCATTGAAGTAGGAGTGCAAGCTGCCGCTTAGATCGGAGGGGATGGCGTTGGGGCCCGGTGAGTCAGCCTGGTGAGTCCCCCCCCCCCCGCTGCTCCCTCCCGTCACAGCCCCGTCAAGGCAGCCAGCCCGGCAAAGGCAGCCGGCACGGGCAGAAGCCTCAGTGCCACCAGCAAGCGTGCCTCACTGGAGACGGTTCCTCTCTTTTTTAACAAAGTAGGTGAATATAACACCCTTTTTTTTTTTTTTTTTAACCTTCCCTGAATGCATGAGCTGCCAAGAAATCTGCAAATGTTTTCAGGTGAAAGCTGGGGAGAGGAAAATGGTGTTGAGTAGGTCAGAAAAATAATGAGCTTCCTTGTGTGGCTATGAGCTGTATTTATCTGTAAAATAAACTTTTGAGAGGAAATGAGGAATTGCCTCTGGGATATTTTAAATGGACAGAAGATGATAATCCAGTCCCACAGGACAAATGAGCCAACTTCTCCAATCGCACCATGCCCTCTGACAGGGAGCAAGAAGGAGCCCCAGCGCAAGGGCCTTGGACATGGATGTGGGCATGGTACCAGCGCTACGGTGCGTGTATATCCATAGCCGAGAGCAGCCTTTGCCCCGCGGTGCCATTCCAGGCTTTGAAAGCTATCGATTCTCACAGCCTGCTGCCTGCAGGGTTGGTCCTTTCAGCCCATTTTCATAGGGAAATCCGAGCTTGGGGTGATGTGGCATGCTTGGAGCCAGGCATGTGCTCCCTGCCCCGCACTGGGCTGGGGACCTGCCTCACCCAAAAGAAACAGCAGCAGTAACGCAGATGAGCTCATTTGACTCACCCGGCTTCTCCTGGCTGAAGAATCGCTCAACAGCCCTCAATCAGTGGAGAGGGCAGCTCACAGGCATCCACCGACAGCTCTCCATTGAGAGTTAGCATCCCTGGGAGGGAGGCACCCAGCTCTACCGGAGGCTGTTGCCGGTTGGCAGGTGGGACAGCTCTGAAAATAGAAAACAGGTTCGAAAAAACAGCTGCCAGAGGCTGTATCCATCTGCTCACCTAGAAAAGCTACCAACTGCCCCGGAAGATAAGCCCTGGGTGAGACACAGACCTGTGAGAGCCGTGTGCCAGAGGGGAAGCCCCAGCGCAGGGTTTTCCCCTGCCACAGCAGCTCTCTTCCATCCCCATCCTCCCGCCCCGGCTGACTGTGGGCTGAGCTGCGTCCCCTGCCCCGCAGCAGCAGAAGCGGGGGCAAAGGGAGACAGGCTGGGCTGGGCAGCCCAAGGATTTCCCAGGAGGAGCACCTGGCCAAAAGAGCATGATGGACCGCTTCCGGATGATCTTCCAGTACTTCCAGTCCAACTCGGAGTCTGTAATGAATGGGATCTGTGGGCTGCTGGCCCTGGCTAGCGTCAAGATCTATACCTGCTTTGACTTCAGCTGCCCCTGCCTGCCCCAGTACAACATGGCATACGGCTTAGGGATCATGTTCGTACCCCCCGTCGCCCTCTTCCTCTGCGGCCTCATCCTCAACAGACAGTCCCTGGTGATGCTGGAGGAGTGGAGGCGACCGCAGGGTTGCAGAAAGAAGGACCTAGCTGTCATCAGGTGGGGTTTGCACCGGGAGTGGCGTCCCTCCTTTCACCTCCTGCTTTGCTGTCTCACCTCCATAGCTTTGATCCTCCTAGTAATTAACTTTCTTCTAAGCTTGGCTCCCAAGACCTTTCCCCATGAGCCTGGAGGGGCAGGGGCATGGCAAATGCATTTACAACAGCAGAAACGAAGGCAGAGCCTCATCCCATCCCAGCAAAGGAGGGCAGGAGCTCCTCGACAGCAACGGCTGGATTAATGCTGCCACCCTGGGAAACTGCGCTGTTGCCTGCCCTGTCGTGCACACACAGGGTTTCTCCTGGGGCTTACACATGCAAGAAGATGAGGCATTCCCACTTAAATGTGCAGAAAGAGTGGCATTTCCATTATGGTCATTCTCTATCAATAGCCTTGTGGTTTCCCTCCGTTCAGTTGAGTTTTTACTGACTTACACTGGTTGGAAGGGAGAGGAGAATCACATTCAATCTGTTACACACAAAGTTCTACCCAGTGCACAGGTTGGCACAGAGTGAGGCAAGAAAGGCTGCAAAGAAAAGTGATTTTCCAGGTAAAAACTGAGCTGATGAGAAAAGAAAGAGGGCATGAAGACAGGGGAGAGCTGACAAGGATTTGTGCATGGGAGACAGAATTATACAGCTGAGGCAAGCACGGGAGAGGACCATGCGCTGCGCTGAATGCAGGCAGCGCGCAGGGCACTGCCGTGCACTGGCACAGATTTCACTGGGAGGCAGCACCAACAAAGAGATCCCCGAGCAGAAGAGGCATTAACGCTGGGGACAGTCCTGGGAGTCAGCTCCCCAGCTCCCCGAGGGCTGCTTGGGGTAGGGCAGCCAGCATCCATCAAGGCTCTAGATGAGGAGAAAGCTCCCAGCATTTGCCCACTCACTTCTCTCTCTCCTGCCCCAGGTACATGTGTTCCTCCATCATGCAGCGAGCCATGGTTGCCCCTGTCATCTGGATCGTAGTCACCCTCCTGGATGGCAAATGCCTGATCTGCGCTTTCAGCAGCTCCGTGGATCCCGAGAAGTTTGTGGGCTTTGCCAATGCCAGCCCTGTGCAGGTGCAGCAGCTGCTGGCCAAAGTGCCCTGCAAGGATGACGAGCTCATGAGGAACAACACGTCCCGCAAGGCAGTGTCCAGGTTCCTGCGCTGCTGGTCCCAGGTAGGTCACTGCCAGCCGAGCCCCCCGTGTTGGCGAGGTGCCCGGGGCACGCATCATCTGCTCCTGCTCTTCCTTGATTTGTCACAGCTTCACCATGGTGAGGCTGGGAGCAAGGCTGCTCTTTGCTTCTTTATGCCCCCCAACGTTGTCACCCTCAGTGAGAATCATAGACTGCTTTGGGTTGGAAGGGACCTTCAGAGGTCACCTAGTCCAACCACCCCTGCAATGAGCAGGGACAATCTTCAGAGGCACTCAGGCAGGGAAAAGGAAAGAAATAAAGGATGGTTTCACTAACAGAACTTTGTTCCTAGAAGAACCAGCACCTTCTAAACCCAGATAATAAAAAGCAGGTTGCAAGGAATGTAGATGTCTCCTAAGGCCCTGTCCAGTGCCAGAAGACCTTTCTAACTGCTAACCTCACAGATAGGACCCTCTGTTTTAAGGACAGTGCAAGCTGAGACAGGCAAAAGCAGCTTGCTCAGGAACAATAGAAGAACAGGACATGATGGGGAGTGGAGCCTTAGCCGGCCCCTGCTCTTGGCACAGGATTGCCAGGTTAGGGGCAAAGACTGGTTGGAGGGCAATGAAAACAAGCCCTTCCTTCTTACCAAAGGGAGCTGCAGGTAGTCTGGGCTGCCTTCACCCTGCTGCCGGGACTCCTGGGCCCTGGAGCCAGTGTAGGCGACAGATGAAGATCTCACTAGAGGTAAGTAAGCACCAAAGGAGAGCACTGAAGTCCCCTTCCCCTGGGATGCTCCCCTGCTCAAATCAAACACCTGGCTGCTCCAGGCTCCCTTGGCAAACGGTTATCCTACTGAACTATTGATGCACAGGTAAATGTCCTATATTCACTGGGAGGAGATTACACAGACCCCTTGAGTACAGTTTGGGGATGCTGGACTTCAGGGACAGATCAAGGATGGGAATCCAGATATGCCACATCTCCCCTCCAGCCACACAAATGCCCTGTCTTGGTGATAGAGGCAAACAGCTTGTGCCTGTCTTTGCGCCTGTCTTGCTCCTGTTCCACTGCTTATTTCTTATCACCCAGGCACTCGGCTGGAGCATTTTGTTGATCCTCATCGTAGCAGTTTTCCTTGCCCGTTGGCTCAGACCTTGCTTCAACCAGGCCACCCTCCTGCAGGCACGTCACTGGAGCAACTACATTGACATTGAGCAAAAGATTTTTGAGGAAACCTGCTGTGAGCACAGCCGGCTCTTTGCTCACAAATGCATCCTCCACTTCTTCGAAAGTATGCATCAAGAGATCAAACTGCACAGCTTCAGCTTGCTGAGGCAGGGAGAGGGCACTGAAGGAGAGGAAGGTCTTCTCTGGGGCATCACAGACCAGGACCAGGTGAATAAACTTCTGAAAATGTGGTACTATGAGAAACCTCCCCTCAATGTCACCCAGGCAACCCAGAGGCATCCCCTGGGGCGAGAGAGATCCCCTCCACCCTGGGCAGACAGTCCCAGTACCCGGTCCAAATTCCCCCAGCACACCGATGTGTAAAGGGGACTTTGTGTGCAGGCACTGAAGGGGCATTGCCATGCCTCTGCACAAAGCAAGGACCAGCGGGCAGATGACAGTGCTCGCATCTTCCTCCAAAACCCCAACCCCAAAGGCTCCACTCCTGGGTGTGCCCAGCAAAACCTTCAAAATAAACTAGCTCTGAAGATCCAAAGGGCCCAGACTCGGTCACTGTTAATGACGTTTCTCAACCAAGGGCTCTGCATAGCACTTTTGTCATATTAAAGAGTTTGTAGCTCCTTACAGCTGTGATAAACCCCTTCTGGCTCGAGGAAGGGTTTAACCAAGGCAGCAACATCTGGCTGCATATGCAAACCGACTGGAGCGGCAGCTTCACAGAGGTGTGAGGAGCTCCTGCCCATCTCGGTGAAACCTGGTTCAGAGAGTCAGCAGTGCTGACACTGAAATTATTTAATTGGCAACTCTTTTAGTACCACACCAACATGTTTACTCAAAAAGGCAAAACCACCTCCTACATCTTCCCATCTGCTGAGAGCTCTAGCTGCCCCCAGTCCAGCTGCCAAACTGCTCTGCCTCCCTCTAGCAACCCGTCTATACTTCCATGCATTTTCAAAACAAAATATGGCAACACACTGAAATTCATGGAGCAGCAGCAATCTAATTGAAGATACCTCTGGATGAGTGTCCCTGGATTGGATTGGATTTGCAGAAGGAAAAGGAGATGGAGGCTTTTATAAACATATCCAGAGCCACAGGACTGTGCTGGGGTTCAGGTGGCTGCTCTAAGCACTGGCACTGGGCCATGGAAAGGACACACTGACTCTGCCTGAGAAGTCCAAACACTCCCCTGCTGGATTTTAGTACAAACCGATCTATCCAGAGGATCATCCTTGCATCGCCTAGTTGGGCATTTCCATCCTTAGTTTCAAAACTGTTTGAAGGTAACATTATCTCTGAGCCTCTAATGCTAATTACGTTCTTACCTGCCTTTTCCCAGCCCCTGTTGTAGATAGTGCCAAGCATGGTGCCCGTTTGACCGACATTTCTGTCCAGCATTGCTGCTTGGATGCATTAAATTCTTTACTGCAAACTAACCCAGTGCAGACACATATATTCCTCCAGGCTGAGGCTCATACTGATGCCCACCATGTCCCTGGGAGTGAGGGGTGCAGGGTGGAGGGGCTGTGAGGAGGGAGGGTGAAGAAGAAATGTCTCCTTGACCGTGCATGGATGGATGGGGCAAGCAGGGCTTCCAGGAGGAAAGAAGAGGTTGGGAGAGGGGCAAAGAAACCTGCCACCACCTTGTGCCTAAATACAAAACCAGGGGTCAAATTGAAAACACGTATTAATCCCCCAAATTAACTTGTTGAGCTGCTGGGAGTTGGGTCACCTCTTCCTCAGGATGTTTGCATAGACGGGGTCAGGGAGGGAGGAGATGCTTGGCAAAACACAGGGAGGCCAAATATCTCCATGGCCCACCCATGGGCAGCTGCACCCCTCTGCCCGCTCAGGTCCGGCTAGGAGCTTCAGGTCATGGAGGGATGGTCTGCAGAGCTTTTCTGATTTGCATAACAAAATCAGTTCTGGCTGAATCCCTGAGTTCCCCTGTCCATGCTCAGAGGGGGCACAAAGCCAGCTGTGGCCCACGCTGGTTGGGAATAACATAGCGGTCTTCCCACCATGAGCTCTTTAGGTCCAGGGAGCTTCTGAGCCCTCTTTTGAAATCAGCATTGCACTTTGAATTTCATCTCTGGTTTACTTTTATCAGACACAATATCACAAATCTCAGGCTGAGACTCAGTTCGGACTCACCGCTCCATGCTAGTCAAATCGGCTATTTTCCTAAGCAGCTCAGAGCAGGGGTCCACAGCTCCCCTTTGCATGCTGCTTTCCATGTTCTCAGATTTTAAGTCATCCCAGAGTGGCCACAAAATATGAAATGCAAAACAGGGGAAGAGGAACAGCTTTGTTATCTGTATCAGGAGGGAGAAAATCAGAGGATTTAAGGGCACTATCATAGACTTCTGCATGTCTACGAAGGCTCACACGCTGCTAGGAGGGTCAGTCTGGTCACAGTAGCTCCAGTAGGACAGGGCCGTGGGTGTTCATCCCTCCCAGCCTCCCCAGGTCCTGTGCTGTGTTCCCCTTTGAAGCCAGAGAACTCTTCTCCGTTGTGGAAAATGGTATCTGGCACCCTGTGACAGGACAAGAGGGAACAGGCATAAACCCAAAATGCAGGAAATTCCATTTAAATGGAAGAAAACACTTATTTACTTTGAGGATGATGGAACAGGCTGCCCAGAGAGATTGTGGCACCTCCATCCATGGAGACATTCACAACCCTATTAGATGTTTCCCTGAGCGTGCTTTGAGAAGGAGGAGTGGACCAGACAATCTCCAGAGGTCCCTTCCCACCAGCTGTGCCAAGAGTGCAAACCCTCCTGTGGAAGTGGGAGCAGAGAGGGTCATTCACAAACTTTAGCAGCTCTCTTCTCAAACTCTCCTGATGGCGATTATTACCATTTTCATGTCCCTCCTCTCTATTTCCCCAAATCCTTGGCTTGGTGTCTGTCTTCACATCCAGGTGCAGGACCCCACGCTGGGAGGGACTTGGGCATGTACCATCTCTCCCAGGACCTGGTTTCCAAAGCATGAGCAGGTTGGGATCATGGGAGAAAGCACCAGCTCTGCCTTCTCTTGCAAATTGGTTGGAGTTAACCTTTTGTTGGCAAGCTCATGAAAACAACGTCCTCCCTAACAAGGAAAGGAAAGGAAGATCCAGGCATTGGTTTCTATGGGCTCTGTTTTGAATCCCACTGACTTACTGCTGGCTTCGGTGAGAACTGTCAGTGCTGCACACCAAGCAGGCTCAGACCCCTCGTTCATGTTTAATGAAAGGCAGAGTTTTCCTGGAGATCAAAAAGCTCTCTGCTTTTTACAAGGTTGATTCATGCAGGCTTTGATGTGAACTGCCCTTCAAAAAGCCACTCGACAGGTGGATGGGGAAGCCAGCCTGAGCTCTTCACTAGCAATACAATAAGCCTCATCTATATTCATGCAGCCAAACCTCTTCCCGTTTGATGAGATCACGCAATTAACCTCTTCACAGAAGGCAGGGCTAAGACTGCCCAGGTATTACCCACATGCTTTGTGCTCACCTCTGTGGTGGCAGCTCACGGTGAACTTGGTATTATCGGCTGAGACCCCAGGGCTGGCGGGGAGATGTCAGGAACTGCAGCACTGACTAATGGTCAAAACACCTGGTTTGGCTTCCTACCTCTGTACTGACACACTGCAAAAACCCTGGGGAAAAGTATCTCCCGCATGCCACCCTCCTACCCACAGCTTGCCTCGGTGACGTGTCTCACAGCCACCAGTACAGCCGCGCTGGTGCCCAGACAGTCAGATGTGTCTTGATACCCACATCAACAGCACAGGTGGTGCCCAGACCGGAGGGACTGAAAGCCTTGCAGGTAGCCAATACTGCAACCGTCTGTTTTATGGCCACTTGTAGTCCCAGTATTCCCCCATCTTTTGGGCAGCTTGATGGAGCAACCTAGTGCATCAAAGCTGCTTTGTGAAACTGGGAATGGAGGTGCAGGAGAGCACCAACAACACAATCAGCTTCTTTTAGGTTTGTGCTGTAGGAGCTAAGCCTGGCCCAACCGTAGCTATCACATCTCATTAGTGTTTGTCACGTTCTGGCAAGCTGGGGAGGAGTCTGTCTGGTCAGCTCTGTGCTGGCAAATGTGCACAGGATCTCTGCACCTGAGAGCCCCTGGGTCTGCAGAGCCAATGGCAACAAGCTGAACTGAGCCATGCCCTTGCAAAAGGGGAGAGGGATGGAAGTGATGGGGAAGCTTTGCACCCCAGTATCAACGCATGGGACATGTCCACCACAGACCTGAGCTGGCTCTGCCCAGGATGCTCCTGGTGTGCAAAGAGCCAGGAGGGCAATGCAAGTATTCAGGTCCGCTTGGGTCCAGATCACCTGGTGTTGCTACTGAATTACTAAGCCCAGGTAAATTGCCATGGCTACACTGTCAGCAATCCTGTGCTCTATGGACCAGTGAGCCCAGCACCCACCTAGCTCAGTCCTCCCTGCACCATGCACTGGTTGCAAGGGAAACGTGCCCTTAGACACCTTACCCTCAGGTCAAGGCATATGGCCAAATGCCAGCCCCTCCTGCTAAATGGATGCACGTTGCTGCTGGCCCAGGTAGTCCTTGCTCTGCCCTTCCAGCAAGATTTGAGTGAGCTTCAGAGGAACAGCGGCTCCACTGCACCCTCAGCCCCCAGGGCTGCAGGTACCGGCTGGCCGGAAGGGCAGGGAGGGTTCTGCATAGCCCATGCCTGCAGGTGGTCTGGTGCTGCTGAGAAACACAGTCCCTCGGGGGACATCGGCCACCCTTGGGCCAGGGAGGTCACTGGCAGGATTTACGCATCCTTCTTGTATTCCCAATTCCTGCACATCCCAAATTTATCAAGGGGCTGGGAGAGGCGGCTGCTTCATTCAGCCTCCATCACTGACATTCAGAGCAAAGTGCACTCAAGCCCTTCAGAAACGCTCATTGAAAGTGGGTGAAAAGAAGAAGAAACCTCAGGGGAAAACCTGAATCCCAGAGCTCTGCTGGGCAGGGAGCATCTCCTGAGAAAGCAGAGGCTCCCAGGGCCCCGGAAAAAACCCTGTCCCTCGGCCCTCTCTCCTTTCTCTGCCTGTTTTTCTCCAGCCCTAAAGCCAGGAAAAGCACTCTGTGCCTCTGGATGTCACCGGACTATGCAAGCCAGCCTTTGAAGGATATTTTAGCAACCCCCAAGGGCACAGGGCTGTGAAAACCAAGCAGCTACAAGTGTCATCTTCTAAGTCTGGCTGAAACATGGACATTTGTAGGATGGAGGGGAGCGAATAACACACTTTGGCAGTACAGATACAACATCCCAGAGCACCAAGAGCTTTACCCTGCCTTCCTCTGCCTTTCCTTTTCCCTTCCCTCTGCAGAATAAAACAGAGGAAAGGCATTTCCCGGTGAAGCAGAAGCAGGTACAGACCAGGGGGCTGGTAGACCTGCCAGGCACTTGCATTAGATGCTGCTGGGGCGATTCAGCCATGGAGGGAGGGGAGAGCCCTGCTTCTCCCTGTGTGTCGGCACCACGGAGGTGGGGCGTCCCATTCGGTCCTGGGAGGAGCACCCACCTCCTGCATTTGCAAAGAGGTTCACAGAGGCCGACCAGCCAACTCCCCTTTCTGCCCAGGGCACAGATCGCTCTGGGGAGGGCACAGCCATGGTGACACCTGCACCCTCCAGCCAAGGGGGCCGGTGACCAGGAGACTGCAGAAATGGGGGCATGGAGAAGAATGAAGCCAGATTTAGCAAACCAGAAAGAACCCAGATCACAAAGACCCAAAGAAGAGCAAGCAAACTCCAAACTTTTGCAAGCAGCAAAATCAGCAGAAAAAAAATGATTTAATTTTCTGCTTTAAATACTGGGGCTGTAAGAGTGCATAAATGAACCTGTGAACTGCACAGAGACTTGTTGATACCTGTCTTCGAAGAGGGTGGCGCTGAAAGAATGAAGTAAACTGAGGCCACAGCTTGGACCCCGGACGGGGAAGGAATCACATCAAGGGACAATGGACAAGTTTCGTATGATCTTCCAGTTCCTCCAGTCCAACCAGGAGTCCTTCATGAATGGCATCTGTGGGATCATGGCCCTCGCCAGCGCCCAGATGTACTCAGCCTTTGATTTCAACTGCCCCTGCCTGCCAGGCTACAACCTGGCCTACGGGCTGGGCATCCTCCTGGTGCCCCCCTTCATCTTGTTCCTGCTGGGCTTCGTGCTGAACAACAACGTCTCCATGCTGGCAGAAGAGTGGAGGCGACCCCAGGGCCAGCGAGGGAAGGACCGGGCTGTCCTGCGCTACATGTTCTGCTCCATGGCACAGCGGGCCATGATCGCCCCGGTGGTCTGGGTCTCGGTGACGCTGCTGGATGGCAAGTGCATCACCTGTGCCTTCTGCACCTCGGTGCCCATGGAGACCCTGGGCAACACCAGCCACCCTGGCCTCTCCCAAGGAGAGATGAAGCGGGTCCTCGCCCGCATCCCCTGCAAGGAGATCTACGATGGGCAGGAGCTCATCGCCAACGAAGTGGCCGTCAGGTACCTGCGCTGCATCTCACAGGTAAGAGGCATCATGGCTGTGCCCTCATTGGTGGTTTAGGGTTAGGCGCTGCCAGCCTTAGCTCTTCCCTTGAGGGAATCTCCTTCTTGAAAACAAGCTGCAGGAGGAGAGACTGGTGATTTCGCAGGGCTACAAGGTGTTCAGACACATCTCCAGAGAGTTATGCCTCCAGTGTGATGCAGAGACTGAAGCCGTAGGTCGTCCTGATAATTCAGTCCCCCCTCCCACCTGGGCAGCCTGGGGCTGCAGGGCAGCGATACCCAGCCAAGCTGGGCACAGAGATTGATTTAGAGCAAGTTCAGAGGGGGATGATGTGGATGTTGCTGCCTGGTGGTGGGCTGTCACCCCCTCCCGTAATGCACCGGTTGCCTGCGGTTGCTCTTGCTGCTTATTATAACGTGTGCAAGCAACGGGCTGATAACCATCTATGCCACTTGCTGCTGCCACTTGCATGGAAACAGCCAGTATGTGTTTATTAATCATCCCAAGGAACCACAAATGAAGAATTGCCAGTAACCGCTGGTCCTCTGCTTAATTCCTCTCAAGTCCTCTGCTTCTGGCCACCTTGGAGACAGGACGGTCTGACCCACTCTGGTCACTCCTGTACTCCTGTTTGAAAGCAGCTCCTCTCCCTGACCTCCTTAGAGCAGAGAGGAATTATTATCCCCAATTTAAGAAGAGAAATAGTGGCACAGAGACTTCTCCAAAGACACAAGGCAGATTTTCCTGGGTAAACCCCAATTCCCAGCTGTCGGGAAGGATTGGGAGCTGCAAAACAAGAGGTGTCACACAGACACCCTGCTCCCAGGTGCACTTTTAGGGGGCTCTATTTAACGCAAGGTTCACCCTCATGAGCTCTGCCTGCTCAGCCCGGTGGCAGCTTGAGCTGAGACCGATGGTGAACCGGACGGATCGGACCTGCCCTCATCTCACCCTTCAGACCCCATTAACAGGGCAGCCTGTCGCCGCTGCTCACCCACGACAGAAATTACTAAGCCCTAGAGCTCGGGAAAAGGGTTAGACAGCTGCATAAACCCAGGGAATATCTGGAATGCTGTTAGCTGCGAGTCAGAGGGCATGGACTATCCTAGGCACAGGTGAGACATGACTGTTGGAGGCAGGACCGAGGGCTGGGTGCAGGATTCGGTCTGATGTTTATGGTCACTGCCTGCAGATGAGACACGGCGAGAAGCAGAGAGGAGCTGCCTACATGGGTGCATCGAACAAAATTTCAGCACAGATGCACTGCCGTGGTACGTAGGGTCTCCTGGTCTGGCATTTGCAGTGTAAATGCAGCCAAATGTCAAACAGCCCAAAGCAGGGCCAGGCTCGTTCAAAGCCACGGGGGCTCCTGCTAGCTGGTGGGAAGTCCTGGGCACGTGCTCTGCCTGCCTGTGACGGGTCCGGTTCCCCCCTCATCCCTGCAGGCTCTGGGCTGGTGCTTTGTGCTGCTGATGACCACCCTGGCTTTCTTGGTCAGATCCCTCCGGCCCTGCTTCACCCAAGCCGCCTTCCTGAAGAGCAGGTACTGGTCCCACTACATCGACATTGAGCGCAAACTGTTCGACGAGACATGTGCAGAGCATGCCAGGAGCTTTGCCAAGGTCTGCATCCAGCAGTTCTTTGAGGGCATGAGCACGGACCTGGCGGCCGCTCGCTGCCACCCACCCAGGAAAGCCCCTGCTGATGCTGGGGAAGCCACCGAGAAGCTCTTGGGCATCACCGACCAGAGCACCATGAACATGGCCCTGAAGAGCTGGCACAGATGCAAGCCCCCGCTGCACCTCCACTCGCCTGCCCTCCCCAGTGGCAATGGCTGGGGGGGGGGGGGGAGAGCCATGCTTTTGGGAGAGGGGCTGCAGAGAGGGCTGGCAGGCGGGCAGCTGAGCCAGGCAGGGGCAAGGGCCAGCACCACAGGGGCTGCAGGGGGGCAGGCACCCAAAGGGCTCAGTGGTGGTGCCAGCACGATCCCATCTGCTCCCACAGCCAATCCTACAGCATCGGTAATTCAGGCAAGGAGTTTTGTGCTGAGCAGGGCAGCTATCCGAGGCCACGATGGACAAGCCCCAGGGATGCTGACGGGCCTGATGTGTCAGCCAGCCAGACACGCCGTGTGTCCCGCACCACCAAGCACCGGGTTTGTGTTGCGGCAGTTGCCAAGGCAGACACTACCCAATGTGCAAAACTTCCTTTCTTTTACCACATGCTCAGCACTGGGCAGCACACATGGATTTAGGCAGTATTAAAAATCTCCTGGAGGTGAAACGAGCTAAGGGTGCCCTCTCTCACAACGAATTGTGAAAGCCCAAAAGTCTCCCCATTACCTCTCCACATGCTGCATCCCCACAGACGCACAGACACAGCTTCCAGGCCTTGAAAAGCTTTAAAATAAATTTGACCCAAGCAATGAGCTTGTGAAGGGACATCCCATATTGCATTACACGTGATGGGAACGGCGTGGTTGGTGTCGCAGGTTCAATGAGGAGCCCACAGAGATGCTCCTTGAAGGTGGTGACTAGACAAGGAGAGCAGCTATCACTCAGCAGCATGGAGGGTGGGGGCCAGGCCAACCCCCTGCCACTAATTTGCTGCAGGACAGTTTGTTCTTGCAATTTTACCTGGATCCTCCCCTGACACAAAGACTGACGTTAAAACCCACCTGGGTGTGTTTTTTTAAGGAGCCAAATAAATAATTCAGGCTTACTGTTCAAGATTTATAAAAGCCATTTACAAAAGCTGTTGGTGTTTCTTTATTTGAATGCAATGAAAAGGACTGGGGGCCCCCCGAGGCCAAGCCCAGGGTGCTGAGGTTGTGTGAGTTGGGGCATTTTGCAGATGCGTGGTGGCCAGCGGTGAGCCGGCCCCGGCCCTCGGAGAAGCTGCCGGGGAGGCACCACTGACCCTACACAATACCAGGTGGCTGCCCATTTCCATAGAAACTGGGGATGATGGGATGCAGGCCGGAAGAACATTCCCAGTGGCCCTGATTTTATTACCAATATGCAGAAGGAAAACCCCTTCTGAGAGATGAGTTTTACCCTTGCTGCGCCCCTCTCGAAATGCTCATCCCCTTGAAATTTCTGCTGCCACGTTCCTTTTCAAACCAACTTATTACGGCTGGCTCTGGTAACTGAGGTGACTGTCGTTTGCATAAACCTTAATTATCGGTGTGTAACTCCTCAGAGGCTGTGGGAAGAGGAGAACAAAGGACCAAAATGATGAGGAAATTCTCCGAGCTGCTGTGAGAGCCTTAGCAAGCCCGTAGTCAAGGGCAGGCTGAATCTGGCTGACTCCCAGGAGAAAGGAACATGACACAGATTTATCATTCATCTTCACACCCCAAACTTTAATTAAGGCACCTGCCCAAAAATGAGTAGGCACAAAACCTAATTTACAAAGCAAAAGAGATTAAGAGATAAAGACGGTCTCCACTCTATTATTTGCAGTTCAGCTCACCGAGAAAGGCGCGCTCAGAGTCCCCACAGCAGCGAGCAGCAGCAGGGCTGGCGGGCTCCACGGCACAGCTATTAAGATACCGAAAAAACAGCATGCATTTGCAAAGAGACGCTTTTGCTCTTTTAATTTAGATTTTTAGGATCAGAGGTCTGTCCCCATGCAGCAGTTCCAGCAGTTGCAGAGAGTCACCACAAAGCAGGCAGGGTGTCCTCTCTTTCTTGGATTTTGGGGACATCTTTCATTGCCTTTGGGAGGAGACCCCTCTCCAGGGAACCCGACACGGCCTCTGGGATTTCAGCCAGGCTGCAGTCCCAGCACTGAGCCCAGTTAGCAGCAGTTCCCCAAATGTGGAGTGAGCCCCAGGGTCCCCAGCCCAGCCAGCAAGTGCCCAGCCCCGGGCGGGCGCGGAGGCGTGGGAGTGCCAAGGGGTGCACTGCACCCAAACACCCAGGAGCTGCAAAAACCTGCCCAGGGACCCCAGATCTGGGGGTAAGGACAAGGACTCAGTCCAAAAATCCCAGCTGAACTGCTGATGCTAGGCTGAGCTTAGTTTTGCTCCAGGCAGACCGGAACGAGGGTGTTGCTAAAGATTTGCCTATGCTGAAGACATCCCCTGGGGAGCACTGAGTTTGACCCCGGGGGACACGGCGACGAGGGGACTGGGGAAGGAGGACAGGGGCCTGTGGCCTCTGCCACGGGCTGGGCGGGAGCTGGAGCCAAGGGACAGACAGCAGAGAGGAGGGAGTGACGCAAGGAGAAAGTGAGGCGCGCTCGGCTGCCTTGCAGGCACTGCTGCACAGAGGCTCTGCTCGGTCCCGGGCGGCGGGAAGCAAAACCTGGCCACCCCACAGAGCTCATGATGGAGGGTTCCTGCTTCTCCCGAAAACCCAGCCAGGCTGACATCCTCCCTGCTGGCTCAGCCAGCTCCCATGCACAAAAGCAGCAGTTCTGGCCCTTCCACGTGGGACCAAGGGCCTCCCCCATGCACGACTGCATCCCCTAGGGACCATGGGGGCTCCAGCATTTCCCCTGTGCACCCAGCAAGGCACCCCATCATTCCCATCCTGCAGGCAAACCCCAGGCCATCCCAGCCAGCCTTTGCACAGCTGCATCGCAGACCTGAAAAAAGACGATGTGCTTTTTCCAGTGACTCATTCTCAGCCTTTCCTTTTTTTTTTTTTCTTTTTAAAGGCACAACCTCAGCCTTACACCCAGCAGAAGCCAAGCACCCGCTCTTCGCCCCACCCAAGCACAGGGCCCAAGAACAACCTCCTCCCTCCTCCCAAAAGCCGACAGCCTAGGGCACGTTGCAGGCTGAAAAAGGAAGCTGCCAAACTCTTAACGCTGTTTTCATCAGCTTTCGTTTCGTCCATCAGCCCGGCGTCAGCCGCATCTCCACTTCCCGACAGCCCCGCGCGCTGCCAGGAATCCCCTACAGCCGGAGCAAAAACCACACGGGGAGCTGAGAAGGCTCCAGAACTGGTTTCAACAACTGTTCAAGTAAGTGACTTCATTTTTTTTTCTTGTTTTCATTCATATTTGGGGGAAAGACTTCAACAGAGGCTACTAAAAAAAGTTATCTGCCGCAAAAAACTTTTCCCCTCCCCTCCTACCCACCTCCCTCCCAGACAGGCACCGGGCAGAGGAAAGGTAGCCCCCCCAAAATGGCATATGCCCTTTTGCCAGCTCTTCTTATTTTTGCTTTGCCGGTTGCCAGGCGCTGTCAGGAAGGTCGCAGGGCCCTGTTTATCAGGGCTATTTGCTGGTAACTCCAATAACAGGGTTTTGAACCCCACACACTGGAGGAAGTTTGCAGATTTAGTGTCTGGCTGCAAACGTGGTGTACCACAAAACGCAGCAGCCGGAGCTGGGGGCCTGGTCCCCGTCACATGGCTGCAGTTTTTGGCTGGTCCGTCTCGTCTGTTGAGGGAGTTTTGCATATGGAAAATGGGGAAGATGCAGGAAGACATTAAGGGCTGCTTGTGTTTGAACTCAGCGATATCACAGTACTACTTTAAAGGGATTGCCGTGGGTTAGACACAGCAGGGAACAGAGGCCTAATTTCTGTCCCCTTTTCCCATTCTGCTGTCCCATGGAGAACGGGCAAAACAGGATTTGGTGGGGCAGCAGATGAACCGAAGCACAGGAGCGATTTAAAGCACAGTGCGTGAGCAAGCCTTGTACAAGAGACCATAAGGATTAAGGTGCCTTTGTCACCTCTGCGCAAATGTCCCCATAGCCTTTTCCCCACAGCTGGGGCTGCCCTGGGGAAGGCCTTGCTCCGTGCATGCTGGCTTGGAGGTGCGGGCATGGGGGCAGATTTCAGGGCAGCCCTGCTGTGGGTCAGGGCTCCCTGGGAGCCCTGGGTGCACACCCATGCTGCCAGCACTGCACAAGCTGCCAGAGACTGTTAGCCTGGTGCCCAGGTCCTTCCTGTCCCCAGGAAACCCCAGTGACAGCAATTTCCCTGAGGCCAGCAGGTTTCCTCACACGGGCGAGGGCTCCCGGAGCTAGCAAGGTGCTTGGGGCTTCCCGAGATGAAACCCTGCGGGGATGCAGCGCAGATGGCAACTCAAGAAATTAATTAAAGGCAGTTGCAAGTGGCATGGGGGAATGGGCATCACTGCAGAGGACATGGATACACTCCCCAGTTATTGCCCTGTCCTTCAAAGAATAAATCAGGGCACATGCTTTCCCCTGCTTGGCCCTGAGTGCCTGCAGTACACACAGCCCAGCCCTGTCAATGGGGTGGGCATCCCAGCATAACCAGTGTTGTACTGGGATACGGGGCTGGGAGAAGCTGCACAAGGGAAGGGCAGCTCTGGCACCGAGGTGTGCAGGTCAAGGGGCTCAATTTCAGGCCAGCAGTTAGAGGCTGAGCCAGGAATGGGGGCTGAGACAAGGAGTACGGTCCTGTCAACCAGCTGCCGGAGAGGAGATCATCCTGCCACGCCTAATCCAAGCGAGAACTCCTAAATAATTGCTGACCCAGCTCTATTTGGTGCTTGTATTCTGGGTCATCAAGATAAGCTCTGTTTTCCCAGAAAGCAGCTTCTCTTGCTGGTCGCAGCAGCCCCTGAGCATCCCCTCACGCCTGTCGCCAGAGACTGCTCCTGCCTGGTCCTCCCACACCGCATGTCTCTGCCCCCAGATCTGCTGGGCCATCTCCTGCTGCCTCCCTGACGTACCTTTGCCTATTACTAAATATTAACTCATCAGGTCTAAAGAGGGAGGCAAAAGCCACACACAGCACCTTCAAGGCAGCACGGCCCCAGCGTGCACGTGCCGCATGTGCCTGGGCTAGTGTGAGTCAGTGGCAGGGCTGGGGACGCATCCCGCATCCCAGCGCCGGTGCTCCAGTCCAGTTTCCCCAGTAACGCAGCGTCCTCCTTTGTTGCAGGCTTGGGAGATCATTGAGTGTCCATAATCGCCTCTGCAGGAGGTGACTAGACCCAAAGAGAAGGAAACACGACGAACGTGCAAACGACCCGGGCAGAAACAGCTGTCCCATTGGTAATCTTTGCTGCAGAGATGCTTTTGGAGAGCTTAGTAGGAAACTGAAATGACTGAGGTTTCACACATTGCTTAGGCTGAATCCCTCTTCGGTTCCTTTTGAAGTATCCCTGGTATCAGCAACCACCTCCAGAGGCTGGGACGCCAGACGGGAGGAAGGACCAGCAGTGAGGGTGGTGTGCTCCTGGAGCAGCCCCTCGCATTCCAGTCGGCCCAAGGCCATTTCACCCCACATCAGCGTGTCCCTCAGTGCCGGGAGGTGGGCCAGCACGCCCCCCTGCTGCAGTACACGCCTCCTCTCGCCCCTGGGACGAGATGGCCGCCCTCATCGCCGAGAACTTCCGCTTCCTCTCCTTGTTCTTCAAGAGCAAAGATGTGATGATCTTCAATGGTTTGGTAGCCCTGGGCACAGTTGGCAGCGAGGAGCTCTTCTCGGTTGTCGCCTTCAACTGCCCCTGCTCCCCTGCCCGCAACTACATCTATGGGCTGGCTGCCATCGGCGTCCCAGCCCTGGCCCTCTTCCTCATCGGTGTCATCTGGAACAACCACACCTGGAACCTGGTGGCCGAGTGCCACAAGCGCGGCACCAAGAACTTCTCTGCCGCCGCCACCTTCCTCCTCTTTGGCTCCATCATGGGCCGGGCAGCCGTGGCGCCTGTCACCTGGTCAGTCATCTCACTGCTGCGTGGGGAGGCTTACATCTGCGCCCTCAGCGAGTTTGTCAGGCCGTCCTCCCTCGAAAAGTTCCCAGCTGAGTATGGGGCCGAGATGCTGGCCAGGTTCCCCTGTAAAGATGCACCAGCGAACCTCACCAAGTTCAGGGATGAGGTGACACGGAGGCTGAGATATGAGTCCCAGGTAGGCAAGGTGGGGAGAAAGCCACACAGAGTGGGTAAGACTATCTTGCCCTGTCCTAACACAGCCTCTCTCTTCTCTCTCAGCTCTTTGGCTGGCTGCTCATCGGCATCGTTGCAGTCCTGGTTTTCCTCACCAAGTGCCTGAAGCACTGCTGCTCACCGCTGAGCTACCGGCAGGAGGCTTACTGGGCCCAGTACCGCTCCAATGAGGACAAGCTCTTCCGCCGCACGGCCGAGGTCCACTCCAGGATCCTGGCGGCCAACAACGTGAAGCACTTCTTTGGCTTCGTGGCGCTGGACAAGGAGGAGAAGGAGCTGGTGCAGGAGTTCCCAGTGGAGGGCGTCCAGCCAAGCCCCCAGTGGAATGCCATCACGGGTGTCTACATCTACCGGGAGAACAAAGGCTTCCCCCTCTACAGCCGGCTCCACAAATGGGCCAAAGGGGTGGAAGGGAATGGGCCAAGCCCAGAGGGCCACGAAATGCTCTTTTTAGCTTCCTAAGACAGATGGCCCCTGGGAGCGGTTCCCCAGAGCACCTGGCAGGTCTATCAGTATCAGTGCACAGCTGAGGGATTCACTGGGAATATCCCTCCCAGCAGGATTACTTCTCTCAGATGGTAAATAGGGATCAACAGCCTCAAGGTAGAGGCTGATAAGCAACACACTGAGCTGGGGAACCCCTCCCTCATCTTGTTGCTGCTCCTGGAGAGACAAGGGGAGCAAAGAGTAGGCGCACACCTTACCTCCAGGCTGCCAGTGCACCCTGCCATCTAATGCACCAGCAGAAACCTCAGGGAACAAGAGGTGGGCATGACATCTCTAATACATGATTCCTGCAGTCCCACCCATCTCCCCCATGGCAGGGTTAGCCCCAGCCATCCTCCTGCATACCTACTTTTTTATTAACATTGGTATCTTCTTCTGCAGTTGTGCAGTGCCTGTTATGCAGGCAGGTCCTGAAGCACTTTATGGGCTTCACAGCGCAGGGAAAAAGAGGGAAGCAGCTGGTAAATTCCTGTGGGAAGGGGGATGCAATGGCACCTGGGGAGGAATAGGTCAGTAACACAGCAGCACACTGAATAACTGAGAGACTAAGGCAGGAGGAATCGCCAATATTCCCGGTATTCAGAAACTCTGTAATTACCAAGTTGGAATTTGGGTAGGACACCAAACTCTCTTTGTTCTTAGTGAAGTGCCTGGCAATTTCTAATAAGCCCATACAGTCGCAACCGTGAGTTTATAAACCTGGAAGATGGCATCATCAGCAGAATAGCTTTCGGACAAGGTGGCGAGGTGGAGGCTGAGAGGAAGCAGTACCTGCAGTAAGCCACACTGCTGTCTGCAGCTCATTGGGACTCTCATCTGATGGTTGGATGAGAAGTGCACTTGTTTGGATTATGAGTTGCAGCAAGGCCTCAACCAGAATTAATTTTACATACATGTATATATATAGTGTATATACTACATAGTTACAGTTAGTTAGCTGTCTTATGGAGCATCTGTCTTCTAGGGAAAGGGGACAAGAAACTTGCCAGCCACACCACCGCGTTACATGCGGCCATCTGCTGCACTGGGACTGCAGCTCTGCAGCGACGAGGGACAGGGGGTCCTGGATGGAGAGAGCAGCCCTCTCCCTACCCTTCTACCACCAAACTTCCTTAAACTCTTACCGCTGCCTTAAATGGTCCTTGCAGCAGACTATCTCCTTTATGGACTGAACTGTACTCTGAGAAAGCAAAGCCAGAGAAGTGTAAAATTACTGCCCTCACCGCGACGCTGCGCTGACTATGGCTTCAGGACTGCTCTTCTGGCACTGCGCAGTCCCTTTTTTCCCCCCCGAGGGTCAGCCTTACGTACCCAACGCTGTTTCAGGAGTTGGAAGGACAATGGAGTTTGTTTTTCCTACTTTTACTGTTTCTTTACAGGTACAACTTCCTTTTACACTGTGCCATTTACCAAAAAGCCTTAAATTCTGCAAAAAATGACTCAAACCCACAGAACTCAGAGGGGCTTACACACAAGGAGATTTGAAATTATTAAATGAGAGTTATTTTTCATTGCCTACTGAGTTGTGGTTTTTTTTTCAGGGAGACACAAAAGGCATATTTTAACATTCTCTTTGAACCCAATGACTGAGAATGTTTTTTTTTTTCTATTAAACTTTCAAATCCTCCTCTAACCAGATGACCCCAGGATGCAAAGTTTTGAACATTACTACATATTACAAGTTAGTAACACTGATTTTTGGTTATTCTTGCACAGATCTTGTACATCAGGATACACAATTGCAGCAAAGTAAAGAAAACACATGTAGAAACCTTTTTACAAATACGGCCCCTTGCAAGAAAGAGCTGGAGCTATTCCCTCCCACAAAAAGGCAAGAACACTGCTTAGAGGGTGAGGCATCCCAGGATCCCTGTTCAGCTTCTCTACACATTTGCCTTGCATTTGTGGGAGGGCTTGGCTCCCAGCCTCACTATCAACTAATCTGCAGGAACGACCAGATGCAAGTTAAATGAAGTTGCATTAACTTCAGATGAAAGAGAGTTCATTTGCATTTCTTCTCGTTGGCCCTTGGATGTGAACACGCAGACACGCACACATACATGCCACCTCCCGCACACAGGTCAGCAAAGGCAAGGTAACTTGCTGAAACAAATCAGCATGAGCATGCGCCTGTTCCTCTTACTTCCTTTACTTCCCTTGCCTCCCTCCTTGATAGTCCTAGTTGTTCCTTTGAACCACCTCCACTCCAGCTCCTTCTCCTCCTCTTCCCTCCTTTAAAGGAAAGGGACAAGACACACAGTGCTTGGGAATGCATTTGTTTATCCCAAGAATAAAGCATTAGCACAAAACAGCTTTTGCTCTGTTTAGCTCTCTCCTCTTCTCCATCAACCCCAGTCACTTTCCATGTGCTGGGATGGGCTAGGGGCTTGTCCAGCTTGTCCATTTTCCCCTCCCTCTTGCTAGAGAGGCAGGTTTGAGTGGACAGCTGGCAGAGAGGAGTGGAGCAAGCCACCACACTCAGAAATACCTGTTTGCCATTTGTCCTGCCCTCCTCTGCAGCCCTGAGCATGGCCCCAGATGAGACAGTCCTGGGTTTCTGGCCCTTGTAGCCCATCAGCACCCTCAAACATATCCCTGCTCATCCTTTCCCAATGACGATGCTGAGGTGAGGGACATCAAGCTACGTAGCTTTTTACACCAGCGCAAGCAAATGGGCGAGGCCACTGAAGCACCAAGAGAGAAGTCGAGCTGCCCGTCTTCCTGGCATGCCAGATCATGCAGGCTGCGAGCTCACACGCTCTCTGCTTTTCCTAGAGGCCAAAACCAACCCCATTGCAGAGCAGCCTACGGGTTGCCAGTTAGGGCACACTTCCCAGCAAGAGGAGTTCAAACCAGGCTCCTCCGGTATGGAGAATTACACACAGGTCTTTCATTTTCCCTGCTGTCTACTGTAGCGACTGTAATAGTCCCAAGTAGTCAAGAAGAAACAATACCTCAAAGGGATCTTAGTTTCTACTGCAACGCTTATTTACGTATTCTATTATGTAACTAATGAATCCCCAAAAAAGCCACCATCGTTGCAGCTGTGTTCTTAAAAAAAGCAGCAGCTGCTACTGGATGTTGCAAGCAGTCTCGTCCTTTAGAAGAGCATTAAGCAAAATCTGAGCACAGTACCCTGCTCTCCCTGGGGGCACGAAGTGAAATTACTTGTTTCTGGATCCCAACAGACTTGAGAGTGAATTAAATGCGGAATCATTCAGCCTTGCCAAGGCTGGGCGTTCACAGAGGCAGAAGAGCTGGGTCCTGCAGAGCTCTGGTTTTGAGTTCAGAACACCTACAATGAGTAAGATACTTCAAGTTTGATATTTCAAAGCTGGGCACCCGCTCACTAGTGTCTACACTGGATAATCACACCTGTCTACACACCCTGCTTTTCCCCTTGCCTTCAGTTCTTCATCTGTAAAATGTGGGTGATCACATCCGCATCTTACTGGAGAGTTATAAGATTACGGATCACAAGGCACCAACACCAGTGACAGAGCCGACTTAAGTACCCAAGACACTTGGCTTTTTTCAAGCAGGAGGTTAGATTCAGATGACTTTTTCAGCACAGAAAAACTTTTTTCTTTGACTTCATTGATTTCTCTTAGGAGACAGCTACTACTGAAAATCACTAATTCTTTCTGTCATCAATCACTGGCAATTGTTATGAGAGATGGCTGTGATCACGGGATCCATCATAACTGGATGCTGTGGGCTTTAAAGGCCTATGCCCTTTCATGTGAATAGGCCAAGAGCATCCTGGGCTGCATTAGAAAGACCATTACCAGCAAGTTGAGGGATGTCATCTTTCCCCTCTACTCTGCAGTGGTGAGACATCTGGGGTAATGTGCCCAGTACTGGGTTCTCCAGTACTGGAGAGATACAGGCTTATCCTGTCCAGCAAAGGGACAGGAAAATTATTATGGTATTGAAGCGTTCATCATACAAGGAGGGACTGAGAGAGCTGGGGCTGCTCAGCCTAAGGAGAAGGCTCAAGGCAGGTCTCATCTATACATATAAATACCTGACAGAAGAGTGTAAAAAAGGTGGAACCAGACTCTTCTTAGTGGTGCTCAGTGACAAGACAAGAGGAAATGGGCACAAACTGAAATATAAGAAATTCCATTTAAACATAAGAAAACACTTTTTTACTGAGAACACAGTCAAACACTGGAACAGGTTGCCCAGAGACATTGTAGAGTCTCCATCCCTGGAGAAATCAAAACCAAACCGGACATGGTCCTGAGCAACCTAGTCTAGCTGACCTCTGCTTTGAGCAGAGGTTTGAACCAGATGATCTCCAGAGGTCCCTTCCAACCTCAACTATGCCACAACTCTGCGTTGCTCTGCCAATTGCGAGGAGTAAAAAGGCACTTGAGATAAATCTTTCAAAGTGTTAATTCAGCTGAAAGGCAAGAATCTTCTCTGACATCTTGACAAAGAGAGAAATCAATTTATAAGACATCACTGTACTTAAAAATAGTGGATCATAACTGCACCGCTTCCCCAGAAAAGTAGAACAGGTATGGCTGATGTTTGTATTGGTTATAAAACAGTCTATATTTAAAAAAGTGTCTTCAAAGTCATCAGCAGACTAGGATTATTTGTAACATCTGGACAAAGCTTCAAACATTTATCAAATCTTTTCCTTAGATTGTGTGTTCTTTCCAGTTTGGTTTGGTCATAGACCAATATTCTCCAGAAACTCATTTGTCCATGGACACTCACAGCAGAATTCCATGCCTCTCAGTTCCCACACTGCATGGAGAGCCGAGTCTCTCTGCTTTTACTTGTGCCATACTTAGGTGTCAGCAAGAGAACTCTTGGTCTCCACATACTCAAGTGCTGCTCTTTTAACAGCCAGGACACTTTCTGTTGTACCAAATTTCTTCTCATAATCCAGGTAGCGTTTAAAGAAGAATTTCATCTTCTTTGGTGCCAAGCTCAGGTGTATGACCCTCTCAAAGATGCCCCTGCAAGAAACCAAAGTGATTCAGATCGGTGTGTTGGTGACAGCACTTAACACAAGCCCTGTATCCTGACTTTGAACAAAGAGCAGAAAGTCAGGGGAAACATTCAACCTGCTGTGAAGTGCTGGTGCTTGAAGAAAGAGATTCCTGACAACTGGCCAGACCCTCAAAGTAGAAGCCTTCTATTTGCTTGCAGAACTCCAAGGCTGCTGGTCAACTTAATCTAAGATCCGGCCACTGTATTTGACCCTGTGTTCATTAAGTGGATGTGGCTGGATCCATAGTGTGAGAAGCTAGACTTCATTTTGTCAACTCTCAGAAAAGAAAGAGAAAAGGAAAAAAAGTTTCTCCATGATACACAAGGGCTTGATCTCACCCTTCAGAGGGACAGATGAACCTCAGTGCAAGTCCTCTAGTTTCTGTCATGCAGGTCACTACTTGTAAATCAGTCTCTCTCTGCCCTATGGATCTCCCTGGAGATCTCCCAGTCCTGGCGAGGATAAGCCCTTCCACACACCTGAGTTTTCTTTCTCTAGGTGATAAAAATTCTCTTTGCTCTGTTCTGGGAGCCCCTATACAACCTCAGGCTGCAGGGCACCTTCACTCTTTTCAAGTGTTGCTCCAAGCAGTGTACTGTGCCCCTTCACAGCCTACTGTAGCCCAACTCACCGTACTTCCTTCTGGCTGCCATGTTTGATCATGATGTCCATGTAGATGGACCAGATGTCTGTCCGCTTGGGATAGCTGCTGAGGGTGCTCTCAAAGAGGGCCTTGGCATGTTCTGGGTCCCCAAAACGGAACTCCAGCTGTGCAAACCTTGAAATTACATCCACATCTGCAACAAGTAATGACATGTTAGGGTATCACAGCAGCCCTCTTCCCTTTGAAAAAACACAAGTGATAATTACACAGAACAGAGGCAGGCACAGAGACAGCACCATCTCTACCCAGAGGCAAAAGGCTCTGTTGTAAAGTGGTTCTGGACCAAGGTGGGAGAGAGAAGGGTCACAGTTCACTTCCCATCTCAGCACTCTGCAGGAGACAGCAGTTTATTCTTAGATTCAAAATGCATCTTGCAGCATCCACAGACAGCCCCACAAACCTGGGACTAGACCAACCGAACTTTTCTAGAGGGCTGTAAGACTCAAAGTCGTCTTTGCTTTCGATGCTTTGCTTTTGCCCATCACAGCAGGTTTTATTACAGGAAGATTTAGCACTGATATCCAGACTGAAATCTCCCTTCCCCTTACAGTTAAGGGCAGCACATTTAGCACCAACTGTTTGCACTTTTCACTTACTTCAAACATTGTCACAGACAGAGCTATCAGAGAACAGCCAAGCTACTGGAGACCTGTCAACACGTCCACATTAGGAATAGGAAGGAGAGCGCTTACGTTCTTTGGTGGGCAAAGCCTTGAGAGCACGCTCCAACAGCCTATGTGTAGCCTCAGTCTGGCCTTGCTTCAGGAGAAAAGATGCATATTTCAGCCACACAGATTTCTCCTGACGGAAACGCTTCAGCATTGTGTGGTACAGTTCTTCTGCTTGCTGGAACGGCAGAGTTGGGTTAGATCACACAGATTCATAATAACGCCTTGTAGCTTTAAAACTCTTACTCTTGTCCCAGGTATCTCCAAACACTTATGAGAGAGAAGCAAGTATCAATAGTTCCT